ATATTTTTTTTTACTTTATTTTTAATACAAACCCTTATTTTTCAGTATATATAAATATGATTTCCAGGCATTGTACTGATCAGTAAGATAGATATATGAGTGGGAGGACAAGCTTATGGCTGGCTATCTGGCAGGGAGCAGGTGTCTGGCCTTTTGCTGGAAATATGTACGGCTTGGTTACATCTCTGGTTTGATGTTACCTTATTATTTTCTAAGGTGAATAAAAAACGCATACAAACTTGTGCTTCTTTTTATACAAGCAGGGAGGTACCCATGTTAACTGAAACTAATGCTTTCTATCTTGTAGCTCTGCATTGCAGAGCATCTGCAGCTCAAATCAGCAGCAAATTCCCTGGGATGCTGAGAGGAAATCTGGAGCTTTGGGAATTTTTTGCTAAGTGTTGGAGCTTGGTGTTGTCAGCACACGTTTTCCTAATATCAAACTTTTAAATAAATCTGAAGAAAGAATGTTTGTTAATGCAGTGTTTAAAATTGTTTATAAAAGGGCTTTTCATGTGGTATCAGTTTCAATGAGGAGGCAAAATTAAAGGGAGGGATTTCAAGCTATTTCCTCCAGGCAGAATTCTGGCATGGTAAATTAATTTTGATCCTTTTCATTTTGTAAATTCATTTTGACCCTGATTCTGACTTATTTGGAAAGGTACCTATTTCTTTTCCAATCATAAGTGATGTTAAATGGAACTTCTTTAGCAGTCTCACAAGAAATTATCTAAGCCATTCTCACTGATTACTCCGTTTCCCTCTCCCCCTTTCTTGGCATACAGTGTCTGTCATATGCTCTTTGAGAATTATCTTGGTGATAGACAAAATATTTTTAAAACTGGGATATTTCAAGAAGATTTTTATTTTATATATCTTTGTCAGAAAAGCTGCATAATATTGCAGATTTCAATCAGCTGCCTGTCCTACCTTCTTCTGGAGCTTGCCATTTTAGGAAGCAGGGGATTTATGAATAACTTAGCTGTCTGAATTTAGTATACTTTAGTTAAAAGGAAGTTAGAAGTACATTGTTATTACACAGACCAAAACAGAAGCTACAGAAGTATTTAACTTGCAACTGTTCCATTTTCAGCTCACAGAACTGTGGGGCATATTTTTTCATTCATATTAATTGAATTTTAAAGTGACCTTGTACATGTATTGATTTGAATTAAAATTTTCTACATCAAGGACGTGTTGGCATATATCCTTCAGGCAAAATATTAAAAAGCCAAGTGCTGTCTTAACAGGATATCGACAGAAGAAGTTGAAATTTAATAGGAAAAGTTGGCTTAGAAAGGAAACTGTTGCCTTTTTGTCACAATTGAAAGGTATCTTTTCTGTATAATGAAAGAAGTTTCTTTCAGCTGATATCTGTGGAAATGCAGGGATGTTTCAGTGCCCATTAAATAAGGACCATCTGGGTGAGTCTTGACCTCCAGGAGGAGAGACCTGCACTACTGGAGCTCAGAGTAGAACTATCAAATTACTTTTTTTTTTTTACCAGAGCCATTAGTTTTTTATTACCTTCTTTCAGGTGATCTGTAGGGACACAGTTGTATGGCTACAGGTGTAAATTATATTCCATACATAGATCTTTTCTGAACATGATCTCCAGTTAGCTAAGTTGAGCAGGCGTTGAAAGAAAATGGTTTGCTGGAAAACATGATTTGTAAAATATGGTGGAGGTGAACAAAAACATTAAGTCCCGAAAACAGTTACAAGGTGTGATTATTAGAGGAGAAAATAAAGGGTATCCCATTTATTGTGTACAATATGGAATGTGCTTTACCCTGAAAATAGCTGTGGAGCATACTTTTGGCTTCCAAATCTAACAGCATCCTCCAGTCTAGTGACAGGCTGTTTTTCATTCTTTGTACTACTAGCCTCATTCTTTCAATGTTGTTAAAATGCTGAACTATAATTTATCTGAGCTACGCTTAGTTTTACAAAATTTCTCGTTCTTTCAGACTTAACTAATGAGATGGTCCTATAAAAATAAGCTGAAAGTCCTGATCTCTCTTCCAGCCGGTGTAAAACCTACAGGAATCCCATGTCAAAACAACAGCGGCAGAGAGCAGGAAAGTTTTCTATTTCAGTGCCAGAGCACTGTAAGAGCTAATTCAGACAACCTAGCACTAACCCAAAGTTGGAATGTATTCTATCATTCATTTGTATTACCACGATGCCTGGATGCCCCTACTCTTGGAGGGGACCCCCTTGCACTAACTTATTGTCTAAGTTGAGATTGCAAAAGTAGTGCCTTCCTCAGGGAGCTCACAGTCTAAGGATGGGTTTACACAGCTCCTTACACATGTGGGAGACAGAGTAACCCTGCTTGTTCGACATTCAAGCAAGTGGGTGATCGAGGCTACTGTCCCAGACCAGTCTGCAGAATTGGACCTTTTGAGTATTGCATGGTGGATGATAGCTGGAGTCTGGGTAGCTGTGATGGATTCTGAAAGTGTAGAGTGAATCATTGGAAGGGCATGAAAACAGATGACCTGGGAAAAGGCAATGAGCTAATGCAGAAGCATTTTGAAAGCATTTGTGCAGGTAAATCTTCTGGGGAGGTTTGAGGCCAGCAATAAGCATATTCAAGCAAGCTGGCGTGCCAAACATGGGATTTTTCAGCTTGTTACATTCTACTGTTCACTCTGAGGATTTTCAGGAACATCCCACACAGGCTTCAGATCAACTTCATCCAATTTTTTTTTTACCTGGCAGCAATGTGAGATATCATGAATGCAGGACGTAAGGGAAGAGGAAAGAAGTGAGCATCCGCTGAAGTGTGTGAAGGCAATGGAGATAGAAAACATTATACGTAAAGCGGGGTCTGGGTTTTTGTAGGGCAGCCTTTTTGCTCTTCCATTAAGAAGGTTTCTTTTCTTTTTGTTTAGAATTTCTTCTTTTCCTCCTTTTAATTTTACTGTGTGGTTGATGCCTAGTGTGAAGTTATAAGAGTCAGTTCTCTCAGTAGACCTATATCCTAGCGAAGTGCTGGTCTTACTAAGGCAGAAAAACAAATAAAAAACTGTTAACTCTAAATGTACTGACAACTGTTTTCCAAAGTGACTCCATTTGCTTATCTTAGTTACGACAAAACTGTCTTTCTGATTCCAGTAGATGATCAGCATTATAGATGAAGGCACCTCTGGGTCATGACTTTTTATTTAACTTAGTTGATACAGTGCTAAGTGCTAAAATAGCTCTGCCAGTTTACTTTATTTGCAGCCCAACTAGATCTTATTACAGAGTATCCCAGCAAGATACTACATTTAGACCCAAATTTACAGTACCTGATACCATGATATAGTTGCCTGAGAACACTAGGCAGTTCCATATACGTTCAGAAAATCCCAACCTATTGTAAGAAGGTAGGAACCAGAAAAAGCTATTCATGGTATGTGCGTAAGTCGGGCCTTGGTATAAGTTACCCTACTTCAGCCTGTAACGTTTTTCTTCAAAAAATTGCCCATTCTTCTGACCTGCTTTTCCTCTTCGTGTTCTTGCAAAATTATGCCTAGCAGCCTGTCTTCTTGAAGTCTATCATTGACTGTTTTTTCCCGTCTCGTTTCCCTGTCCTCTCTCTTGCTGTCAACTTGTTCTTCCCTATTCTTCAGAGTCTTCTCTCCTAGAGTTGCTTTCTCCATGTCCCATGCCAAAGAATTGTCATCAGTTCTTTTCAGGATTTGTAACTCTGTCCTGCTATATAGTGATATAATAAGCAGCATTTAGAGTAGTTTGGGCAACTGTTCTGCAAAGTCCTGTATTGTTACCCCAGTCCTACCACCATTTCCCCTCCTAACACTCCTTCAGGAGCATGTCCCTGCATCAGCTTTGAGATGGAGTCTTTCTGACAGATTTTCTGTCTTCCTTCTTGTGGGGAAAAGCATCTTGGCACTTCAGAGTTGATTTGCCTGTTAGTCTCTTAGTTAGTCAGCATCAGGTTGAGGTTACTTGTGTTGAAACAAGGTGGTAAGTAGGAGTCATTAGCAGGAGTTAAAAAGGAAAAACATGTAACAAATCAATAAAGATGCATATTGACTGATTTCTTTGGATCTGTTTGCTGAGGTTAGCAGTAAAAACACAATTGTTCTAGTGTGTGTTAATCTATACTGGACAACATGTTGGAGCACAGACAATGGAAAATGAGCCACTGCTGGTTGGGAAATATTAAAATGAACTAATTGTTTCTTTTTTTATCACAGTTTTATGCTTTTGTGGATGAAGAAAAACTCTGTAATAATCTCTGTATAACAAAACACAAAGAATTATCGTTAGACACGCATCTTAATAATATGGAAGTGCAAGTTCATCTTTGAAATGTAAATTGATTTTTAGATTAAAATGCCTTCATTATTGCATTCTTGTCAATAATATAGTTTAGGCTTATTTCTGTTGTTATACTCTGACTGACCCTATATATTTTCCATGATACCAGTTTTATTCTTTAGACTTTACGGCTTTCCCAGAAGAAAATCAAGCTTCTCAAAATGTAACATTTTTACTTTTTAGCTGTAGTTTCCTTTTAAATAATTTTACATTTTTATTGGGCCTAAAGTGTTGACCATTAAACTCATGGCGTGCTTTTAAAAGCTAGCATGAGAAGAGTCTGATTCTTCTTTCAAATTATTTTTCTCTAAGTGGACTTATATTGGAGAGTATCAAATACATTGAAAATAATCACATTTGCTCATTGTTTTTGACAAGTTATTGAGTTGTGGTGTTAATAAAATTGAGAGTGTTGCTTGGCAGTGTCAAGGGAATTCTGTGAATTCATACATTTTCAGTTGCAAATGAATGTTTGTTTGTTCTGCACTTTATAGTCTATCTCTTCCTCATAACACACACAGTGGTTTTAGATCTTTTATTTTGGTCTGTCTATAAAATATTGAAAACTGAAATTACATCAACTTAGGCTGTTAACTTGATGGTCTTGTGAATTCAGACACCATCAACTCTCCTTCAGCTTGTTTTTGTCCTCCTGTTTTTCACAGGTTACCTTAGGAAAAGTGTTAAAAGTGATAGTGGTGATGCGGAGCCTCTTCATTGACCGGACAATAGTAAAAGGGTACAATGAAAATGTCTATACCGAAGATGGCAAGGTAGGTTGTTGTATATCCAGCAACATTAAATTTTATTTTTACCTGGTATTTAAATGACAGAGAACAGGAATCCCATCACGAGTATGCTAGAAACATAAAACTGTCAAAAGACTCTGTGGATGTTTTGCAAAATGCTCAGGTTTAAATTTATCATGCTTTGCTTGGGTTTTTTCATACCCAAATGTCTGACTTCTTTCTAAGCTCTGAAGCCCTTGCTTGAATTTCTAATTTATCACCTTAGACCCCAGTTGCCTCATTAATAGTGTCTACTGAGAAAACATTTTTTCAGTGTAGAGGCACATCAATAGCCCACGGTTCAGATTTCTCTTCTGAGAGCCATTGGGAAATCTTGGGCTAGTTTTGTGCTCAACTTGATAAACGCAACTGTGTGAATCATTGGTAGGTAGTCCTCAGTAATTTTCTTGTCAGTAGTAGCACATCTTGAACAGCAGCTATTAAAGCGTTACCTGTTTCCACAAGTGATTTGTCTTACGAACAATTCACCCTGCTTGAACCCTCAAATTTCGTCTGACTGCAACACACTCCATATGGCTCTCTTTAGCGCATCAGAAGATGTTAACGGGACCTGACGGCCTTCAGCTCAGCTTGTTTCTCTTTTCAGGGTGGAATGGTCTCTCTTACCGAGACATGCGCCAGGACTCTCCTTTGCCAGTAACAGTACTAAATACCTCCATCTTTAACATTTTCTCTCTGGAGCTTTCTTTTCTGATTATGAAACCTATTAAAATAAAAAGTTCATTATATCAAGATGAGTACTTGGCACCCATAGGCCATGTTATAATGAGTTGAGACTTTTCTTCCTTTCAAAAGTGATAACTGTGTTTTAGCACACAGAAGCACATTGTGTACTGACCCAGAGTTCAGCAGCTCTGAGTCTGAACCTCTGTTCTCTAGAAAAGGCCAGGAGCTGATCTGCTGAAGGAAACAGTACAGCTGTATTTCCCAGGTGAGAGATTCTCACTCGAAGGGCGGGGGATTGGCCTAAGAAGTAGTAAAATAAAAATTGCCTGATTTTGATTTGCATTATTCAAATATGCAGGTTTAAATACCACTTTGCCACAGAAGCAGCTGCACTATACTCCCCTGTATATTAGCATATAAATACAGACTTAGAGCACCAGCCCTTCTTCACCCCAAGTTCTGCTCAGAAGTGAAATAATAGTCTGCGTAAAGAGCACTGACAGTGCTTGATGGATTCCTGTGTCACACTTCATTTGGGTGTGCTCATTTTCTCTGATGAATCCGGTTTCCTCTGAAGCTCCCTTGAAATACAATAATGCTATATGTGCTGAAAAGCTAAGTAAAAGAGTTCCTTTCTGAAACTCAGCATCTGGCATTGGGCTTCTGTTTAGCTCAAGGTTAACTCTCTTGAGGGCCGCATACCATTTCGCTGTCATCGTTTGCTGGGAGGGGGAGAGCGGGACTCACCAAGGCCAGCTTTGGGTGCGGGGCACTAACCTTTGTCTGCTGTCAGTGGGGAGCAGTTCGGCTTCTCCAGAGCTTTGGTGCTAACACCTGGCTTGTTTTCTTGCTTTAAGCCAGTCTGCAGGGGAGTCTGTTTTCTACCGATTTAGCTTTCTGTGTCCAAAGCCAGGTTATGTGTCTGCTCCCACGAGGCTGCACGAACCTGTGACCTTTACGTGGCAGTTTGCTATTCCGTTGGACCATCCCAGGGCTTTCGCAAACCTGAAGGTCTGCGCTTTAGGTATAAATAGGAACATTTCATTCGACTTAAGTAGAATTGGAGTTGCAGCCACTTAAATAATGAGTAAATTTGGCTTGGAAGATTGAATAAATGCGTAGCTTGCTAGTTTTGCCAACTGGAGCACATATTGACAAACAGTGAGCTCCCTCTTTCTCACTAATTAACTACACTGGTAATTGGAGAATAAGAATAAGATTGTGCTCTTGCAATGATTCGCTTTACTTATTGTGCCTGCTGGGAATGAGCGATTACAGTCAATTGCAAACATAGTCCATTCCAATTCCTTCTCTGTCACAACAGATGCTGTGGGGAAAGTACTCCAGTGAGGTTTCACCGTACTATTCTAGCTTCTCAGTTTCTAGCCTGATAGAGGGGAAAAATGCTCTAGCATTCAGAGGAGACACAGAAGAGTATGAAAAAGGAGATCAGCGAGTATCATCTTTATTAAATAACAAAAATACAGAGAACCCTCAGGATCACAGTGGGAGGTGATTGTTTTTCCAGTGAGCAGTTTGCACAGTAATTGCTGATTTGGGGGTTAGCATATGTATTCTATGATACTAGGTGGTATCATACAGTACATACAGTATGGCAGTTCTGAAGCTCCTGTCTTTTCTGTAAGCCACATTGAAGAAGGGACACTGGATAAGTCATTGTGCTTCTTTACACTTAAATAGCTGAATGAGGGTCTGTTGAGTCATCCTCCCAACAGCACATGTCAGAAGGTCCTTCAAGTAACAAAAGTGAAATTCAGAGGGGGGCTTTCTCCAAGTACAGCAGGGTTTGGGGCAACAAAACATATTTAACAGTATTCAGCAAAAGAAATGGCCATCATTGGGAGACTCGAATGATCACACAGACAATAAGTGAAAAACAGGCTCTGCACAGAACAGGCCAACAATTTGCTTGCAGATCAGGGGAGTCATCATTTATCTCTGAAAGTACAAGTGTTTCAGCAAATTTTGCATTACTGGGAAGAAAAAGGGAAGAGATGAATGCAAACAGCAGAGGCGTTGATAGTCTTCTGGTCCATTAGTCAGGCAAGTTGAGAAAAAAACAAATATGGGTGTTTCTCATAGTTGTGGGACTGTGCATGGTGGCATACTAGCAGTTACACAGGAAAGCTGACATTGCATTATCCAGGCTGCTTCAGCTTGCTGTGTGCTTGTACGTTGTGCTGTGTAGGTTGACAGGTACTTATGTGGAAGCTTCACGTGGTTTCTGCTGTACCGAAGTCTAGTTAAATTGGGTACTCCCTCTTACAGATTGAAATACTTTCAAAATTAAGGTGAAAAAATAGACTTCTTCAGCTTGCAGCGAGTAAAATAAGACACTACGTTCTGGAGTTTTATTTTCAAACTTTGCTTATACAGACGAAGAATCGTTGCATTTCTTAAGTGCTTCATGTACTTCTCTTGTGAATTATTCATAAACCCTGCAGAATACGTCTTTGCCAAGTTGCCAGCTGCATAACTTAGACGTTTTTGGTGATGCTTTGCAAAAACAATAGGTGAGATCTGGCAGCCTCTGTCACGTCGTGGGTTCTGTACGCTGATTGCTCTGCAGTCTCTCTTGCTTACTGTACTAACCCATTGTGTCTAACACAACCTGATGCATTTAAATTAGCCCTGTGGTTTTAGTGATGGCACCGTGCCACCCTTAATTTCAAACTTTGACATACTCATTGTGCACTGGAATTTAACCACGGATAGTAATTAATTAATAGTGTTGTCCTGATTCCTGAATAAATGAAGCTATGCAGCTCACCCTTGCAGGGCACGCTTGTTGTCAGCTGAGCCATTAGTACCTCTAGTCTGCCAATAAAAATAAAAACCTATTGGGATTTTTTGGCATAATAATACTGTGCTTTTCTTTGGATGCGACACCAAGAACCACCTTGACAGGGCGTATTTAGAGTGGGTACTTAACATTGCTGCCTAGCCAAATTCCTATTTTTGCATCCGTTAATCTTAACTAAAGAAACGTAAGTGTCTCTGTTGAATTATCATGTTAAGGAACTTGGGTTATGTTAATGCTACGGCTTCATTAATTACCCCATATCAATAAGAAAAGGCAGCTTTTAGCCTCCTAGGGTAAGAGAGGAAAAGAAATAGTAGTATCAAAGGAAAGCTTCAAAGACAGGCAGAGCTGTCTCTCGGGTAATTTCTGATCCCTGCGTTCTTTCCACTTCAAAGCTGGATGTGTGTGTGTTTCGGTGAAGGGGGGGTTGAATCCGATTTCTCTAATAAGTGTTGGCACTGGACCTGTTTGATATTAGATGCAGGGAACATTCTGATTTGTTATCGCCTTTGAAATCGTTCAGACGACCTTCAGAAAATGGCCTCTTGTTACTTATGCTGGGGGTGGGTGGGGAGAGTGGGGCATTGGGAAAAAAAGTCCCGGTTTAATTCACATGCAGAGGATGCCCTGAAATTGTGCTTTCAGCAGTTTTTTAGTTACAAATGTGTGTCTTGATTGAAAGTGAAAAGTTGAAGAATAATAGACCTATAACGATGCATTCTTTAATCCGCCTCTGCCTTAATCCTCTGTTTCAGGGGGAAAGGTGGGCAGTCATTTAGGATGTATGCATGTGGTTTGGGGGTTTTGTGTTCTTTTTTTTTTTTTTTTTTTTTTTTTTTTTTTTTTTCTTGGATAACATCATGTCTGTAAGACAGACATTCATTACTTTTTCAGCTCTTCAGTCTTCATGCCAACTAATGAACATTCAGAACCTGTTGGATTCATCTTAATGCAGCATCTGAAGTGGATTTTTTTTTTTCAAATCTTAAATCTAACTAGAGAAGATCACATACTTGGTTTGATCACTAGAGATTAGCAAAACCATATATGCATTCCAACTCTGCAGTCAAAGAAAGCCTTAAATTACATGAAAATAGCTTTTTTAAAATATGCATTATTTTTTTTATTTTCAAATGTAGACTTTTCTAATACGGAAATGCAATGATTCCTTCCCAACAGGCACAGGTCTGTTATTACAGTGTAAATCAAGCTCAGGTCCAAGTCCGGGCTGAACCGTTGCTTGTGGACTCTAGCATATGAGTGTTGTTGGTGTTCACACAGGTTCTTGATCCTACCGTAAGAGCCAGTAAATGTAAAAAGGTTTGTAGGTACATGCCTCAGGGTACTTCTGTCTTCATCTAACCTGGAGAAGGCATTGAGACATCAGCTGCCTTTTGTCTCACGGCAAGGTCAGCGATACTAAGCCATGAAACATCTATCCTGAAGTGATATTTAAAGTCTTTAACATCCCGTCCTGTCCAGACTGAGAATTGGGGATTCAAGAGTCGCTTCTGTACCAGTATTTAGAAGTGGGCCACTTAACAGTGTTACTCTTAAAAGAATGGGAACTTTTAGCATTCTGAACATTTTTAGCAACGTGAGTTAATTACTTGGGTTCAGCGTCTGTCCCCTTCTCCTCCTTCACCCCCCCTCTAGTGTGTTTTACTCACTTCATATGACTTCCTTCATTTCAGACTCTTTTTGTGCCTTTTAAAAGACTTGTAATTTCAGCTAGGACTTACGGGCATATAAGACAGAATTAAAATAATCAATTGTACCTTATAGTAAAGGAGATAAACCCCCATTGTGGGAAAACATGTGTCAACCATGTTACCAAGCACTAGAGGAGCTACCCCTGCTTCATAAATTAACTGAAAAAATTATTTTCTTCTGTCTAGACTAAGATTCCTGAGGTTAATGCTGCATCAGGCACCTTTCCTGTGACAAGTTTTATGCATATGGAATTGTTAAGTACAATGGGATCTGTAGAAAAAAAGTGATTTGCAAATCTGGGATTGATGGAAATTTCTCTTGTTTTTCCCTGCTGCTTTTCCTTGACAGAGTACAAGATATTCCACAGGGCTGGGCTGAAAAAGCATTAGCATGTCAGTTGAAATTGTTTAACATGTGAACCATTTGGTTGTTTAATAAGGACAGCCTTACCTTCTGGGTTCCAGGGCTAATAAAACTGGTTTCAATTTTGTTCTTTTAGTTTGTACATCGCTGAGCACATGTTTACATCATGGATGTGTGCAGTTATCTACAACCTTCAGTCTCTTTTAGTGTGATTTTTGTCTGCAAATGTAAATGCAGTTTCCTAAGGGATGTTTTATTTAGCCCCAGTAGACCAGTGTTTTGGATTAATTCAGCTAAACGTTCCGTGTGTCGTTTGTAACTGAATCACTTATTCAGACACAAGACAAGCATAAACTTAGTAAAAATGCCCTCATTTTAGGAACAGACTGAAGCTGATTAATATTTGCATACAAATGAAGATTTTGCTGTTTGTAAAGAGAACACATTAATTCAACAGGTCTTGTGTATATATATATGTATTTTTTTTTTTTTTCTTTGAAACTGTGATGAACTATGTTCATTCTCCATTGCAATACAAAGGAAATCTTATATCATTAATTCCCTTTCTTGGATTGCAACAGGTAAAGGCAGTGGTTCAAAATAGTGAACTGAGAAATATGTCTCCATAGATCCATTTGCCTGTTCTTTTAATTTGAACAGCTGCTTAGCTTCTTTTTCTCTGTAAAGCTGCTTCTTTATGTGTGGTAATATATAACTCTTTTTTTTTTTTTTTTTTTCCCCTCCCCCTCCTGTAGCTTGATATATGGTCTAAATCCAACTATCAAGTTTTTCAGAAGGTAAGTCTCATCATTTCTCTCTACCTAATGTGTATAGGAGATATGCGGAATTTATTTTAAATATCTAGGCCCTTAAGTAAAATAATTCAGAATGTATTTCTTTGTCATCACAACTTGCAAATAACAAACAATAATCTGTAACAATAGAAAACTGTGAGTAGAAAAGGAGATCACTTCTGCTGTTACTTAATTTGGATTTATTTCCCATCATAGTTCCAGTTCATGGTTTGGAATAGGAAATTGGAGATTATACTACTCTAGCCTTAAAATTTCATGAGGAATCTTCAAGCACACTTTTTTTAGTTAATATCTTTTGGGGGAGAAAGGACTGTTTCAGGTTCATTTGGATTTTGTTTTGTTGTTTTCATTGTTTTTGGTTGCACCCCTCTCCTGAGGGCTTGAGTTTAATAAATCAGTAGAACTCACTTTCCAAAATGAGTTTGGAAATTTATTCCATGATGTTATTTTGCCTGCTTCTCTTCCCATGTTGGTGTAAGCAAAAGGAATAACTTAACTGAAATTAATGCCATTCCAGAAAGTAAGAAAAGACCGATGAGAGAATGGGAGCAGTAAGTATAAAACTACTAAGAAGGTTAAAGTGTATTTCAAAAGGATCTATACCTCGCTATTTTCCAGGCAGGGAAGAGAAGATTTCTCTTTGAAAGCCTCTTGTCAAAATGCTGTAAGTTCAGATTGATCTGGGTTTAAATTCCGGTTTCCTTACCTTCAAGCCACAGTTCAAGGAGCTTGAGTCTCCAGCTAGCGTGCTAGCTTCCTTTCATCTACTTCTGTAGTTTGTGTAACAAATAGGGGTCAGGGACTCAAAAGGGCATAAAACCAGGGTCAAAAGTATGGCATATTGGCTGTATTTGTGCATCTTCCTTCCAAGATTTCAGATGCAGTCAGAAGGGAAGATGTTTGACCTGTGGTATTAACCTGCTAGAGATCAAAGAACTGCTTTTGGGGAGATTGGTTGCTCTCCCTCTCTGCCTAGCATTAAAGCAAAATTTTGCTGTAGTTGATTCTTTACCCCAGGGATTAGTGGATTAAATATTCTTCCTTTTTTTCTCACTCCCCAAAAATATTTAGTGTCACGTAGGGTAATATAGTAGGAAGTAAACCAGCGTAAATCTTAGTAACTTGTTTGTGAGTATGCTTTTAAGTAACTTTTGCAGTGGAGTACATTTAAGGTTCTGTAATTAAGTGCACCATCTCAATTTCCCCATATGTGTGTTAGGTTCTAAGCTCATTTGGGCATAAGGTTGCCTTCCTGGATGTTTTGGTTTAGAATATCTTGGAAGGTTAGATCATATTGCCATCATTTGTGCTAAATGATAACAAATTTGGTGATTTGATTATATAATATTAATTGCCTATATGCAAGGTAACAGAGCAGAGTACATGTACAGGTTTGCTTAGGAGTCAAAGTTAAGGACTTGGGGAGCATAAATACGTAGAGTAAATTTCTCTTGAGGTCCAGGTGTTGGCCTTCAGACCAAAAGTGAAAGGAAGGGAATGTGAGGAAACATGAAATGCCCCTCTTACTGCTGCTTGGGTGGCTGCATTATGAATAAATAAGAATCTTTATTCTCTTCCTAATTCTCTAAAATAGTATAATGTGACCTGAATATTAAGTTCCTGTTGTCCAGTTCTCTCTTGGTAAATAATAATACGTTTGGTATTCCTTAAAAAAAAAACAAAAACAAAAACAAAACAACAAAAAAAACCAACAAAAACCCCCCAACAACCAGAAAGAAAAGACTGCAGGAGAAAGGGTTGCCTGTAACCAGTTGAACAGCTGCCTGCATTTTTTTAATAGTGTTTTTATGCATTTTGTTCCCAGCTCTGTCACTGTGTTACCTTGGGCAACTTAACCTCTCTTTGGATCGGTTTTCTGTATCCCTTAGGCTGGGGTAATACTTGCTGACTTCACAAGAGCTATTGCTGAATTGGTTGCATAGTGCTCTCAGATTCTTGCATGAAAAATGTGATAAAAATGCGAGGTGATGGTACTTTCTAATCAATAGATTCTGTACTATTGAGCTGATAGTTAAAGAAGTTAAGGCTAGGACCTAAGTCAGGTTTTCAAACAGATGATAGAAAATGCTGTGGTTCAGCATAGTAAGTTTTGTCTCTGTAGTGCTTTGTTTGATTTTCTCTTTATTCTCTGAAGCTGCACTTGTATCCGTTTATAATACTCAGGATGTCGTGGTTTGACCCCAGCCAGCAACTAAGCACCACACAGCTGCTCACTCGCTCCCCCCCCAGCCAGTGGGATGGGGGAGAAAATTGGGAAAAGAAGTAAAACTCGTGGGTTGAGATAAGAACAGTTTAATAGAACAGAAAGGAAGGAACTAATAATGGTAATACTAATAAAATGACAACAGTAATAATAAAAGGATTGGAATGTACAAATGATGCACAGTGCAATTGCTCACCACCCACCGATCGACACCCAGTTAGTCCCCAGGCGGCGATCCCTCCCAGGCCGACTCCCCCCAGTTTATATACTGGGCATGACGTCCCATGGTATGGAATGCCCCGTTGGCCAGTTTGGGTCAGCTGCCCTGGCTGTGTCCTGTGCCAACTTCTTGTGCCCCTCCAGCTTTCTCACTGGCTGGGCTTGAGAAGCTGAAAATTCCTTGACTTAGTCTAAACATTACTTAGCAACAGCTGAAAACATCAGTGTTATCAACATTCTTCGCATACTGAACTCAAAACAGAGCACTGTACCAGCTACTAGGAAGAAAATTAACTCTATCCCAGCTGAAACCAGGACACAGGACTAGTGATTTAGCAGTAGCAAAATGAAGGAAATAGATAAAATAGTGTTAGAGAAACTATTAAACTCTCTTACTAGTGTAGGATCTGTACCGCAGGATCTTTAGAACAAATGTTTTCGTGCCATTAAAAAATCATCAGTAAATGTGTCAGAGCACATCTGAATGTTCTTGAAATGTGTTTCTCATGGCGATGTGGAAGTGCTGTGCTGAGAAGGGAAAATACGGATGAGTAACCGCTCCCACCGAGGAGGCTGGGTAGCCCTTTCAGCTCTGCCGCCTTTAACGCTGTAAAATCAGTCATCCCTATGAAGGGCAGGGCCGTTTCTCTTTAAAAGCTGGACCAAATTCTCAAACTCTGTCTTCAGTGATATTATAACAACATCTGGAGCTCACAAGATACCTGTCTGGGGTAGCTGCAGGCTTGTCAAATTCTCTCAGGGTTGCAGCATGACTTTCTAGGTTAAGGACCAGAGACCTCTGATCTTCAATTCAACCCTGTCAAACGAAGCTAAATTTGTCCTGACTCTTTGTTTGCAAACGTTGGCTGTGTCAGCAAGCCTTTTCTCTCTCCTTATTAGGCAGGATACCCAAGTGTGTATAATTTGATGGGGGACGGCTCCCGGAGGGCCCATTACTGTTAAAGTGTACAGTCGTTTTCTAAGTTCCCTGGAGACTCCTTGAATCTGGTCCTGGGGTGAATAAGCTTTATAGGCATTGAATCCACCAGCAGGGTTAGATTCAGAGAATGGACCTGGGAAATAAGAGAGGGAAGGCTGAAAGGGCAAAAGCATGAGGAGCAGAGAAAAGGTTTTTCAGACTTCCATGTTGGTCTGACATTTAAACTCCACAGGAGCGGCAACTGTTTTGATCTTAAACCTCCTTATTTTAACACCTTGCATCTCTTGATCCACTAGTGCAAGAGGAGGAACAAAACAGGAAATAAGGAAATATTTCGGGGCTTAAATCTTGATGGGAAGAAGAGTGTACATGAGGGCTGCATAATATGCCAGGTCATTGTGTAGAGGATTAGAAAAATATGTATTGTAGAGATTGGTGCAATATTCATAGCTTTGCATTCAAAAAAGAGGCAAAAATATAGAATAGTGGATCTGCTGTGAGTGGATCAAAATGGGAGGTGGTGTCAAACATGAACTGTTTCATTTATCAAGCTGCTTAGTTAAGAGCAGCATAGCTGGTTTTGCTGTGTAATATGATCAGTCTGGCTGTTCAAGTCACATGCATAGGACTTAAACCCGTGTATGTCATTCTGATCTTGGAGTCCCGTTCTTATTTTCACCTAAATGGTCTGTCAATTTCAGCATGCCACAAACTGTTCTTGTTTTGGCTTGATATGCTTCCTCCCAAAGCACGTTTTAACCTAAACTTTGAGAAGCTGTTTGTGCCTATCCAGCTCTTTGTGAGCGGTGTAATCCCAAAGTGATAGAACTCGGGAGCACAATTTTCACCACTACAAGGGCACATAAGTATTGTAATGTATGAAGATGTATTCTTGTCAATAATCTCAGAATAAAATCACATGCGGGATGAATGCATGCATGAGACAAATACTGGGCTATTGATGATGTCTGTTCAAGGAGAGGAGACGGACTGTTCCAGGGTCACCTGCATGATTGCTCCTGTGCATGATCAGTACTTGGTGCTGTTCAAAGACCTCCTTAGGTGAAATAAAATCTCTATGACCCAGTCCAAATAAGCAGAACAAACGAAATAAAAACCTAAACACTCTGTGAGCTCTGAAAACAAGTGATAAATCCTACGCTTCAGAAAAGTCTGGTAGTGCTTTACTGAATTGGGAGCGGGGAAGGGTGTGTAAAGGATTTCTGTGGAGTTCATCAGTGCCTGTTCGTAGAGGTACCATCCATCATCCTTCCGAGCGCCTCTCGGGCACCAGGTTCTCTGCACCAGATTTCCTCCAGAGAGACTCAAACGTGGTCCTGGAGAGAAGATTGAGTAATGACAATCCTTGGAAATGAACAGAGGCACTCATGCAGTTTTTCCACACTATAAAAGGTCTAAACACTAATAAAATAACTTTCCTTTTTTTTTTTCTTTTTCTTTTAGTGCTGTGATCATCCTCCAGAACTCATTGCTAGAGGCTACTGTTAAGGCCATGAACTTAGCAGGGTTTAAAAAAAGAATTAAAAACCTTACAGGGGATTTAGAGAATCCCTTTATATTAGATGGAGTTGTCGGTGCCATACTTGAGGGAATAAACCAATAAGTAAGTGGCAAGGAAAGTTATGACTCTTAAAGGAAGTTTTACACCTACTTTTGAAAAGCATATTTACTGGCGGTGAGATAAAATACTAGAAGAGAGAGACAGTTTGTGTAATTTAGTCATGTGACATTTGTATTTTTATGTTTTCGTGTTTATGCCAGGTGTAGGTTCATACATCTATGGAACATACCTAGTCTATGGTGGAGCAAAACTATACCATAGGCCTTTGTTTTTGTGCTTCTTATTCCAGTTAGAGGAAGCACTTGTTTAGCTTTCTCAAACTGTGAATTGTAGAATGCTTTTATTTTTTTTTTTTTTTAATGACTTTTCAGCTTTGGGATGCTATGTGACTAAAAATTGTCATCAAGGCCCAATAATGCCTTTTTTTGGATATGTCACTTTGGAAAGCACATTTCAGCAGAGCAGTACTATCAAGTGGGTACAGAAATGCTCTAGAAATGACTGGTGTTGGCTCGGTTGAGACAAATAACAGGGATTTTGTTTTCTGCTCATCGCTGGGTCTTGGTCTCATGAGCTATTTATAACTTTACCCAGCAGACAAGCTGAGCCGTCGGCGGCGAGAGGGAAGTCGGGAGTCCAGGTCTCCCCACTCTGCTGCAGAGCAGAGCAACCGTGTGGGCTCAGCAGGTCGTTTCTTGCAGCAGGCTGGTACCCAGACAGCCCTGCTCACTTGCTGGGGCCTGGTTGTTCACCAAAAGCGACAAGTACGTAGGATTTAATTTGCACAGAGTCACGATGAAGATTAGGTTTGATCCAGTATCAAGTCTGTTTTGCATTCCTGGTGTATGCAGTGCCCTAGACAAGGGAGCAGAGATGCATTTTAGTAGTACGTGGTTATGGTCAACTTGAATTTGGAAGTGAAAAGGAGAAAAAAAAAATCTCAGGCGATATAATTAACTATTAACAAGAAGGGAAGTTTTCTTGTTCAAAGTGAGTCACTGCCAGAATTTTTTTTTCCCCATGTTACTGAAGTCTCTTTTGCTCTGTCTCAAAGTGCTTAGTTAAACAATAGCTATTTTATTTAGCAAAATTGTGCTTCAGGAGATTGCCTTGTCTTGCCTTTTTTTTTTTTTTTTTTTGAACAAAAATTCCAAGCGCTTTTCAATATATGAATTGTGAAATATTGAGCTTTTCTGCAAGATCTCTTGAAAAATCTATCTCAAGGTCCAGAGCAACAGCTATCCCAATCAATGTGTGCTCTTCTGAATATGTTGCTGTATAGAAAGAGGTAGAGAAATTAGAAAGTGACTGATAACTTTGATAGCAGTAGGTAAGGTAGAGCAATAAAAGTGAAGTTAATAAAATAAAACCCTGAAATGTACAAAATGTCATCCTACACCCAGAATAAATTAGTTTGTGATTCCAACTTGGCTGGAAGAAAAAGTGTGTCCCTTAAGTGAGCTGGGGCATATGCAGTTTGTTTTGCTTTGCTTTGGTGTGAAATCGTATTGCCATTAGTAAAGCTGGGTATTGATCTCCCCTCCGCCTTTTTTTTTCTTTTTTTTTTTTTCCTCTTTTTTAATCTTGGCTGGTTTGTGTTTTCTCTCATCATCTCTGTTAACCTGGGGGGGTGTAATTCTTCCTTCATTCCCATGCATTGGCCAGTTTATCATTTGTCCAGGTCTTTTCTCTTGTTTGATATCATGTTCTTTGCTGGGTTGGGGGGGGGGGGGGCATTCCCCTACTTCTCTTCCTCAGATTTGACACCCACTTTGATCTTCTTGGAATCACTTTATCTGCACTTGCTTATGGTGGAAATCGCCTCCTTTTTGTTCAGAAAACATTATTAGTGTTCTAGCAATGCTGGGATGGCTTTTATCTCCCTGTGGAATCTCATTAGCTTTACATTACAATAGCAACAGCATATGTGCAACTTTGCTAAAGTGGCCAGTCAATTTAAATTTGTTAATAGCAGTATTTTTTTTTAAGCAACTTTCTTCAGTGCCAAGAGAAAAAAACTTTGTTGTTCAGGGAAAAAAAACAAAAAACAAAAAACAAAAAAAAAACCAACCCAGTTTGTTAGAAGTAGAGATACAGCAGAAGGAGAGCGGCTGCTCATAAATATCTTCAGAACTTTCTATTCTTTGACATGTCTGGTACTATCCTATAAAAGCACTATCTTAAAAGAAAAAAATTCACATAGCTAGTAGGGCTTGGGTTACAGTCATTTCTGAACGCTACATGAGATGCTTAAATGACTGATTTGAGTTGTGCTGTGTTATTAATGCACTGTTAATCACATTATTTCTAATTTTTTTTTATATGGTAACATATAAATGGCTTAAGCAGGCTGAGGTCCATTTTGTGATATTTTTGCAAACTCACCAGAATGTGCGTGTTCCCAAAAGTTTTCCTTTCCAAATGTCAGAATCGCATGTCCTTATTCACGTTGAATGGAGCTGCTTTTGGAGTTAGTTGTGCATGAATGATGGGGAGCAGAATCTGTTTCTAAAACTGTAGTGTAACTTAAAACTGGATTCAGTGTAGGACAGACTAATTTGATGTAGTGTTCTGCGGAGGAAGTTTGTATGGTGTGAATTAGAGCCTGTCTATACATGGATTTATTCAGGAATATATCTTTTACAGATTCACCTCCCTGAATAGCTTCAAGCATGAGCCTCTCTTCCACCAGTGAAAGTTTGAGTGTTTCAGCACAATTCACATTGCTGAATTAGACTAACTACAAATCAGGACCAAGTGGAGTTAGCTGGAAATAGTAGTTGTAATTTCAGTTCACACTTCATCTTACTCAAAGTTTGCTATAGTATATAGACAAACCCTGAGAAGAGTGCTAATTCTCCATGTTAAAACTAGAAGATACAATTTAATCACTAACTAGACAACCATGTAGTTTGTTGGATGCTTTGATATTACTGATGAGGACTGTTGATAGATTTACAAGTTATAAGATGTGAAAGACCTGTCGTGGTTGTGTTGTCTTGAGTTCTTTCATAGTCCAGCCCAAAGAATTTTGCCAAGAATTTCTGCATTCAGCCTAGAACTTCTGAGAAAAGTAAGCTGTTGACTGTGCTAGTAACTTAGGGAGCCGACAGGCTGCATACTGTTAGTGAATTGTATCACAGCTGTCAGAAACTGCCCCCTTCCAGAATCTTAAAAAAAAAAAACAAACCCCAAACCAAAAACACCAGCAAAAAAACCCTATCAAAGCATTGGTTGGTCTTCCTGATTTTTTTTTTTTTTTTTTAATTCTTGTTATTATAAATACACATTTTATATGTATTCTGTCTAGCTGTAATTCCCAGATGTAAGATATTGTTATGGCTCTGGGAAATTAGAAAGTTTTCTATCAGAAATCTTTTACTAATGCAAGTATTTATACACCATAATCATATTAATTGATTCCTGTTTTCAGAGGAAATGAAACTGAGAGCTCAATTCCTGTTTGTTCAACGTAAGCAACCTGAAATAGGACTACAAGAATTAAATATTTTAAGTTTTCCCATTAAAAAATGGAGAGAGTGTACTCCTTTTTCTAGTAAAGACACAGTTTCAATTCAGGGTATTTTATCGGGTGGGGGGGGGGCGTGTTTTGGTTTTCGGTTTGGTTTGGTTTCACTAAAACAGACCAAACCCAAAACTTCAGGGTTTGTTTTTTTTTTTTCTTTTTTGAAGTCTTAACCTCTGTTCTTATAAGTTAGTCTTCCATAACTATTTAATTTAGCTACATTATTGACAATGTTTTTTCTTTTGTTGAGTCAATCATCATAGATTAAGGGAATATATTCTCTAAAAAAAAAAAAAGACCAAAGAAAAAATGGGAACATTTAAAGAGAAAACCAAAGTACTTTCCTCTGACATGATTTGTTTAGTGACTTTGCTTGTTTATGATTTCACAGAATACATGGGATTTTAATCACAGAAGCACAGATTCTGCTGTTATGCTGTAGACATTTGAAAGTTAGGCAAATTATTTGCAATTGATGTTTTTATTTTATATGGTACAGAAGATGGGGTTTTTTTCCTTTTTATAGCTGAGTTGGTAGTCCGAAGTAGGAAGTGAAGCATGTTAGTTCAGTATTGTTCCATGCAGCATAGAGCTGGACACCTTTCTCATCACTTGGCTCACATTAGCTACCAGTCTAGATTCTTTTACCAACACTATAACTTTTATCATGTTTATGAACTTCCAAAGGTGCGTTTGATTTTACTGTATGCATACAAAGTTAATTATCATGATTGCTTCAGCTGATTCTTGTACGAAGTTGGCAGAGGGAATGGAAGCTAGCTGTCAAAAACTAGCCCAGATTATTTTGAGAACATCTTCACAGTCATGTAATCCTTGGTTTGCTACTTCCCCGTGGAATTTATACTGTTTTCCTGCAGATTAACACTACGTGGCCTGAAATACAGAATGAATAAGCGTATATTCTCCTTTTGGCTGATACAGGTGACGGATCATGCGACCACTGCTCTGTTGCACTACCAGCTGCCTCAAATGCCAGATGTGGTAGTCAGATCTTTCATGGTAAGTGTATTGGAAAATACATTTTTGCAGATAGACTTCAGCATGCTTACAGTGATTGACATTAGGCAGTTCTGATGCAGTTGTAATTTCCCAGCTTTAAAGAAGCTAGGCAGTAGAGAAAGACTGTAATTCTTTGTATCTGATACCTGGACTAGGATGAAGAACTCATTCTCATTACCCTGGGATAATTGGTGTTGGAAGACTGAGCTGTATACGGTTCTTCTGTCAGAGATCTCAGTATTAGCTTGATGATTCCTATTTGCAAAGCTACTCTGGGTCATCTCCAAAGGCAGTAGGAAAAACTCTCTGAACCAATATCTTTGCTATGGCCCAGCCCTTCCACACTGTTCATACTGCACAAGGAGTTGAGTTCCATATGTAGAAAGTCTGCTCCACTGGAAGTTCCCCAGTAAGAGGAAACTCCCAGGTAGTGTGTTCCAGCTGAGGCAGCTTGCTTGTCAGGTTGTCCGGTATGGGAAGTGATGTGCGTTATTTGGAGTATGATGAGCGGGGGGAATGTGATCGGAAAGAGTCCATTTTGCTGTATCCACTTTCAGCCCCAAGGTTGTTCCTAAGGAATTGCATGTACTTGCCCAGCACAACAGCAGGTGGTTTGGGGAATCAAGGAAATGCTCACTGAAGTATTCTGCTGGTTTCTTACGGAGTAAAATTAATCAAGTACTGCTCTACCTTGATATGCAGATTTAAGTTTATCACCTTTAATTCTGCTTGTATTTAGAATTTTGTGAAATAAACTTGAATACAAGCAGCCCTGTTAAACCTTGTTCTGACTCTCTGATTATGATTCAGAATTCCTTCTACCAAGATGAATTTTGGCAGTGGAGACTATTGCTGTTCTGTCTGCTGCAGTCTTCCAAAGGAGGCTTTTGGGAGAGTTTTCTCTGCTCTTCAGACTTTTTCCTTCACTTAAGTTCCATTACGTTACCCCTTCACCTGGAGCAATGTAACTGAGACTTTTAAAAACAAACATCTAAATTTGCCATTCACAATCTTTAGGTGTGTACAGTAGCATTTGGTCTTTTATGTCTTTAATTTCCACTGTGTAATTTCAGATCAGTCAGACTCCCTTACCTGCTGTGCTGGTTTGTTTATTTAATAAAAAGGCCACTAAAGTGAGAGATTTGCAAAGGTCTCTTCTCTTGGAGTGCTTCTTAAAATAATAGGTTTTGAAAGGTGAAAGCAACTCTTCACTCATCAAATCCATGTTTCAACATGTTTCTGAAAATGAATGTTTAATAGAATGGGTAGTTTGTTTAAGCCATGGACCTGCCTTATTGATTTGATAAAACACTACTAAAACTTTTAACAAAGCAAAACCAGATGTACACCATGAACGTCAATATGTTGGTCCTTTCACATGTCAGTTGTGCAATCCACATGACAGGATGTAGTGAAGCCCTAATTTTCTGTTGGGAATGAAGAATGCCTTTTTTTTTTTTTTTTTTTTTTCCTTTCAACAGATGTCTCAAGTGCACAATTTAACTTCATTTACCTATTTTTGTATTATAGTTCAGAAAATTTGATTTCTCTGTAGTACAAGCAAAGCCCATCCAAGCTGAAGTAAATAACAGCAATTTACTTGTTGTGTTCTGTTGCCCTTGTCCCCATATTTACTGCTAAACCCAGAGATCTAGTTCTTTTGGAGGAGAGTTATTGACGGCCAAAGGTTTGGTTGCTATAGAGAAGGCTCTGATGAAGATGGAAGGATTTGTTTCAATGAACTCGGCTGACCTCTTCTTCAGAGAACAATTTTCTCTTATCGATGTAATTCAATAGAACTTTAAATGACAAGATTCATGTGCATCCTTCACAGTATAAATCTGCTGGTCTAGGTGTTCTTTAGTTGCGTATCTCCTTGAGTTGGGAATTGAGTTATGTAATGCCCATTGCTATGTATGATGATGGGAACAATCCAGTTTAGAGGCAGGAACTTTACCTAGGAACACCTGAACTTACTCTGTGTTGTTCAGCAGTAGCCTTTATATATATATATTTATCAGTGTAATCAGATTTAAAATGGTACAGTATTTTTATGACCAAGGAGTATTGATCTTAAAATCGCATTAGAGAGGAAGTTAGTTAGCTTGCTGTGAAAGTCCTTATATCTTCAGCTATGAAGAGTTCAGACCATTGCAGTATGATTGCAGCAGGGGTGTGATAGATGATCATAGGAAGAGAAACCAATATTTGGTTGAAGAAGGTACCCATCAAGAACAATTACATTCCAGTAAAAATATGAGCAGTGTTACAATACTTGCTTTCCGTCATGATTCTCTAACTGCAAATACCTCCTGCTCAGAGTGCATGAATTTCTATTAACAAATTTGCTTAAGTGACTAAAAAAAGCAAAAGACGATTAATAAAGTGGGAATTCAGCTATAGAGTGACCTTGTAATCTTCGGCATGTTTCTGTTTATAAAACCACTGTGCACCTCACGGGGCCTCACCAAAGTACATTCTCTGTCCTTGCTATCACTGTTTGACAAGAGTGATGACAAAGGGGAACGTCCGTATCCAGTTTTCTTAATTTCTCTCCCTTTTCCTTTTAGACCTGGTTAAGAAGTTACATAAAGCTGTTCCAGGCTCCGTGCCAGCGCTGCGGAAAGTTTCTGCAGGATGGCCTGCCACCCACATGGAGGGATTTCCGAACACTTGAAGCTTTTCATGACACTTGCAGGCAATAGTAACCCAGCCATTGATAACACGAGGAGGGAACAATCTGTCGGGCTTGGAAGAGAGCTGATGGTTTAATAGGTGGTTCCATTTCTGAACCTTTCATCCTGTACTAAGTAGTGAGGTTGCACTAATACATTTGACTCTTCAAAAGCCATCAGTCTCTAAGGCATTTGTGAGACTAATGTGTTTTGAAAAAGATGGTAAGAAGCTGTGCGTGATCGCTTGACGCTACTGAGCTGAAATGGTATGTCTGGGGAGATCTGGCAGTAATAATCATTATTCTAAACCTTAATGAAAATATCTGTGTACAGTTTGTTTTGTGACAGAATTTGCAATGTTGAAGACTTTTATAAACTTAAATAAATTTTGTATTCCAGAATTTGTACTATTTATTTCATTATGTGATCAACAAAATCCTTGGTTTTGGTGTGGATTTTTCAACACTGCTCTTTTCTTTAGAAAACTGGAAATGTCAAAACATTCATGCTGGTATGAGGGGGGGATTGTTGTTGTTGTTGTAAGGCTGCTTATCTGAGCGCTGGTGGTTTTTTGTGGAAGAGATTACGGTGTTGATTAAACATGGAATTTCAAAGGCATGTGGCAGCTTGGAAGATGCAGTATACTTTCTAAGGCGGGGGAAACAGATGTTTCCCTTTACTAAAATTGTAACGAAAAATGTTAGCAAAATCTGCATGTATTAAGTGGTTAGAAAGCTTGTGATGAGCAGTGACAGTGCGTATGATTTGTCATGTTTCAGAACTGAAAGTAGTAAAATAATTCAGCCCCTAAAGCACAGCTGCTGCAGCACAGACACATACAGCATGTTTCCTAAATAATTTAACATTTACATGCAACATACCAGTGAAGAGTAAGATCCCTCCCCGTAATCATTGCCCTTGGAATGGTTGGGAGTATTCAGCTCCTACAAGCCTCAGCCATTTTTCCTTTACCCAAAGACCGGGAAGGTCCCTGGTCGCGTCCCAGCTGAATACTCACTGGCCTGGGGCTGTAGCGGCTTAAGTGTCTTCTCTGGTATTTTCTTGAGGACTGTACATTTCATCTGTCATCTCCTGATAGCCAATTTGATTAATTCTACTGTCATTCCCACTAGCGCACCCTTGTTTCCTTTAAAAGCCACAAAGGTTTGGGTAATAAGGTTGCTTTTGGGAGCTGGTAAGGGGAGGCCTGGAGAAGCTTTGTCGCCCAGTTAATTTTCAAATAAATTGACATTGAGGTATAGTGCTGCAGACTAATTTTTGAGGTTCCCTCTGCCTGTGTGAAAAGTTTCTGTTGCAGAAAGAAAAGACACCCCTCGAAGGCTTTGGTGGTGGCAAAGTTTGGTTTGGTTTTCAGCAAGGAATGTTGAGTGAATTTAATCGCATTTAATAAAAAGAAGGGGATGGGGGGGACACAAAAACAGGGCAGGAAGGGCAGTTGATCAAAATAAGGTGTTCAAAGATTTTAAAACAATTGTTTAATTTAATTTGAACGTACAGCATTTATGAAACAGCCTGTTTCATAGCTGTGGAGACTGAAAAAATGAAGAAACTTGAGTATCACCTTGTACTTGAGTGGTACTAAATTAACTGTGTTTGCTGGTAACATAAAAGACCAAGCTCGCAAAGATAACAGCTCCTTCCTGTGAGGACAGCATGTGATGTGGGAATTTCAGCTTTCTAGGTATAGAAATCCGTGCAAGATTGGCTTGTATAGAAGAGAGAGGAACTTGAAAGAAAATAGGCATTTATGACTTCCTTTGGAGGCACAACATTGTGTATGAAGAATGAGCATGTATTTGTTTGAGGACATTGGTGAGATCTGATTCTTTTTTTTTCCCAACTTTTTTTTTAAATTATTATTCCCAAACACCAAACAGAAACATGGCCATAGCAGTGGGATAATGGCCATTTCAAATCCAGCTGCAGTTGAATTACCTAATGAAAACTTTTTGTGCTATTATTTGACCCAAGTAGCCTTCTCGGTACAAAGATCACCCAAGACAGAACAGTGAGAGCGAGCCTCGTAAATAAGCGGCTCTGCTATCCGTCCTGTTACTGCGCTAATTAGAAGGCCTGGGTTTGTGATAGTGTAAGCATTTTTTTTTGTTGTTACTAAAAAGGTCATAATATAGTATCCAGCCTGCTTTAGGCACCGCTGTCTGCTCCATTCTGTTTATACTTAAATAATGGTGGAGAAAGCAAATCCTGAAGTTCACAAAAGTACTATAATGGAATCATGTCTTGGCACTTGGAGATAATTAGTTGCAGAAAACAGCATCAGCTGGTCTGTGTGTTAATTGAGCCTGAAATTTTAAACCTGTAATTGGCAAGCCTGATGGAGAATCATAAAATTCACTGTAGGTACCTCAGTACAAAAATAATTGTCTTAGAGAAGTGCAACGCAAACCTGTTTGTCACGTTCCTTCCCCCAGAAAACTGCCGTAGGAGGGAATCTTATCTCTTTCTAGGGAGAAACAGTGATTTTTATCCCTGAAAGCATTTAACTGTGACAGATTGGAATATTTCCATTTGGGGGAGTGGAATTCAACTGTCTGAATGCTTCTAAAGCTTATGAATTTCAGCAGTTTGGATGCAGTATGTGCTCGTCTCTGCTAATTGTCCTGAAGTCTGAATGCTGGGTGGCCAGTGCCCGATTATCACCGAGATGTGGATTTCCAAGGCAAGCAGAAGCTCGCTCTGAGTTTTGAATGCGCGAGGAGTAGAAACTGGGAGATTGTAACCAAAAAACCATTCTCACAATACAGCATGTTGGTGTTCTTCCTCAGCTTTGTAGCTTGGATACTGGACATGATTATTTTTCTTTTCCACCGTTAGTTAAAGGGGATGGGTGGCAAAAAGCAGTTTAATTGCAGGATGAGCAACCTTACTGCTTTTATCATTAGAGTTTGTTGCAGGTTTTTAAACCGCTCAGATCTTCAAGGCAAACAGCAAGGACTGTGATCCCTGAAGAATGGTTGGCTCTCACCTCTTCTAAAACATCTTCTAGAACTGCATTTCTCCTGATAGTTATTTCTGCAAGGCAAGCACAACTGCAGAATCAGTAGCAGCCAAATTGTTATTAACAGAGAGAGAGAAAAGGAAACTAATCTACATGCAGAAACAACAGTGCTGTTTTAGTGGCTCAGGTTGTGTGTTATAGAGCTGCATCGTTCCAGCGATGTTGTTTATAGCACAATGATACATTATCTCACCCAATAGTGCAGGAAAAGTGCATTGCCTCGCCCTGGTTGGCATCATCTTGGTATCGCTTACCCTAATCAGAGCAGGCAGCCTTCTACTGCATCCCTGATGTGAAGAAATCCCGTTTTATTTTCCCGTGTGCAAACCCCACCTACTGTGCTTGTGGCGCTTGCAAGTGCTAAAGGTTACAAAATCCATCTTTTCGCTAAGAAAGCAACTTAATTAATGTGAAAGTTTCTCTCGTGAAGGGAACCCGCAGCAGATATGCAGTGCATATTGCAGCTGACTCCCCTCTTCCCGCCCAGCACCCCTCCCCAAACCACTTTAATTTCTCTGCCAATATTGGACAAATGTAACAGGCTGACTTTTTAATTTTCTACTCCCAGGTCTCCCTTGTCCCCTCATGCATTTTTCATCACAGCTCATGGCTCCCTCCCTGCCTGCCCTGTGAACAATATTGATCGACTGATTAAGCCATCAAGCCATGGCAAACAACTTTAATTTTCTAACCAAAGCCTTTTAGTTCTCTTCCCTTTCTTGTGTATTTGTTACCTTCTTATGAAGTTTTTAATGTCTGCTTGGAAACAAATACATTTTTTGAATTAGTCCCTGGGTTAATTGGTTGCTACGCTCCACCGAGAGCAATCCGCATTAAAATGTTAACCCAGAAAATGTGATAAGAGAGAGCGGGAAGTGCTAGGTACGGTCCTCTTGTTTCAAAGCCAGAATCGTTCCTGTGCAAGCTTTTGGAGAAGGGCTTAAAGAAGACTTAGGGTGCTTGTGTTTTCTCTTTGGTCTCTCCCAATAGCCTTATATTTTACTGAGAAGAGAGGAAGCCCACCGCAGCAGTACAGCACCCCTGGCCATACCAGGCTGCGCTCATCAGGTTTCATACACACTGCTGTCTGCATGCTCTGAAAACCATACGAGTCCCTGCAAGGATACGTGAGACCCGGTTTGTCCCGTAGAATGTTTTTAAGCAATGATGATGATAAAGTGAAAGGAGATTCATCTGACCTGAATCCCAGGGCTGGCAGGTGGTTAAAAGCATCTTTCTCGCAAACTCGGTACATGTGGTTTCAGTAAGGCTTGTCAGAATCGCTCTGTGGGTTTGCAAATTGCTTTTCAAGGTAAAAATGCAGCTTAAATATCAGGATATTTGTCTCTCACTGGAAGCCTTAGAGCTCTGCAGTGTGCAGTGATGCTGCAATCCTGTCTTAGGTGCTGGTCCTTTAGGTAGCTCTGAGCCGTGAGAGCACCAATAGAGAACTGTAGCGTGTGTCGAGGATCCTCATGCTGAGCGTTGGTTCGACTGGTCGTTCTGATGTCTCCAGATCTGTGAATTACGAAGATGAGCAAAACCCTTCCAAAGGACCCAGGCCAGTGTTAATGAAGGGTCTGCATAAAGGCAGTGCCGGGACCAGGCATCTGTACACCCCTGTAAGCACCCTGTGACCAGTCTGTCTCTGAGTAGTTGCCTGGGAATCAATCGCTCCTTGCTCTGTTCCGATACACACAAAGAGCCGAGCTCCTGGAGGTGGGAGATGTGGCTCCACATGCTTACAGCGAAGCGGTTCAGCAGGAGGCTCAGTTGCTGTTACCCAGCGCAGCGTGGAAACCTCAAATGTTTCTATTGCCGCCCGCACCTCTGCCTCTGTGACCTCAGTACAGGTCCGTGCTATGGATTTAGTACAAATACATGCAATGGGGTGACAGATCAACCTCACAGCTGGCTCTTAATGCAGGTTTCATCAGTGAGTTTTGCACCTTAATCTGTGTCCCGGTCTCCCTTCCCTGGCTCCGCGTGGGAACCAGCTCCTTCATCAGGTTGGAACCTCGCAGCCTGTGCCGAAGCCTCCAGGTCCCCCGGTTTATCCCGAACGCACCATTGCTAGGCAGGGCTTTTGTTCTCCTAAACTCACCTGGTGTCCTTCAGAAGAGGAGATTTTCTGCAAGTAAGCGGGGGAAGTGATGGCTTTGGCTGGGTTTCTCTGCATCAGAAGTCGGCTGGTTTGCCCGTGGTCATTCATCAGTCGGAAGCAGCCGGGGTACGGATGGAGTTGGGTGTTTTGTGAGCAAGAGCCCCAGAACAAAGCTGGCTCAGAGTCATTGGGGTTGGTGTCACCTCTTCTTGCTT